CCCCGGCCCTTCCCCTTATCCCTTTGTGTGTGGAAGGGACGGAGATGGGACTTACTTTTGAGGTGTCGAATTTTGTGGGGGCAGCAGATACCGCGCACTGCCACTCGGGCGTAGGAACGGCCCTGAGAAAAAGGGGTCTCCCAGGATCCAAGGTCCAGAGGCCTCTTATTGAGAGCGGAATGGGATGAGGTCCGGAGGGGGATATCTCCATTGGGGTCTGTTCAGTCGGCTTACGGGAAAGGGACATGTGCAGGTCCCTCGGCGGATGGCTCAGTGAGCACCCTCCGGATGTGCCAAATAGTCGGTGGTTGGCGGTTCAGAGTCCCGTTTGCACTCTTATAGGGGCCTGCGTGCTTAGCAGCCCCCTTGCAGTCAATGAAGGCGACATTCCGGGCGTGGGTTTTGGGACCTTGTACTCGAGTTACGAGGGACTCTCTGCACACGCTTTGGGTCGTTTCGAGTTTACGAGAGATGAGCGAGTCGTTCTTTGGTGGTCGAGCGAACATTTTTGCGGTGTCGTGCGGGTCCATGGTCGTCTCTCTTGGAGGGCTTATTTCACTACAGCTCGGTCGTCGCAGGCGGCGGTCGCGACTGTCGGGGCTTTCCTATGTTGTGGTGCCTACGTCGAGTTTTGTGGTGCCCGCGGCAACAGGCGCATGTGGGTCCAAGGGGGAGGGGGGGTGTTCTTTTGCACCCCCGTGCACAGGTTGAGGCTTTCCGTCTGTCCGGGCGTGTTCGAGGCGTGGTGCATTCGTTTCTCTCTTCACTCGCGTTTCTCGATGGAGAGATGAGGCGGTGCACTTCGCTGTCGGTACGTTTTGGGCGGGTGGTGGCATCCGACTGTGGGCCGAAGCGGTCGGCGGTTCCTTCGCGTGTGTCGTTGTTCGGACAGTGTGGTTATGTTGTGATCTCAGGGTGTGGTGTGGGCGCGTAATGTTCGCACCCAATCTTGTGAGCGGGTGCGGCCGGCTGTGTTGGATTGTGCGGTACCTTGTCGTTGGAGATGGCCTACGAACGGGAAGTTCACCTGCAATTCAAACAGCCGGACTTCACGGTGTCTCGACAACTCATTGCACGTTCCACGGTTGTTCGACATTCTTTCGGTAGGCTGGCCGGCGTGACGTGCCTACGTGCGCCTCGGCCATCGCTCCTTGTGGCTGCTCGTTACACCTGCTACCTCGTTGATCCTGCCAGTAGTCATATGCTTGTCTGAAAGACTAAGTCATGCACGTCTAAGTGTGAACACTTTGCACTGTGAAAGTGTTCACACTTAGACGTGGATGACTTAGTCTTTGAGACAAGCATATGACTACTGGCAGGATCAACCAGGCAGCGGGTGTCACGAGCAGCCACAAGGAGCGATGGGCGAGGCGCATGTAGGCACATCACGCCAGCCAGCCTACCAAAAGAACGTCGAACAATCGTGGAACGTGCAATCAGCTGCTGAGACGCCGCAGTTATCATTTATTTGGTGGTCCCCTTACCACTCGGATAACCGTGGTAATTCTATAGCTAATACGTGCAGCATATCCCGACTTCTCGAACGGATGTATTTATTGGATAAAAGGTCGATCCGGGCTTGCCCGTTGTTGCGGCGAATTTTGGTGACTTGTCGAATCGCATGGCCTTTGAGCCAGCGATGTTCCATTCAAATTTATGCCTTATCAACTTTCGATGTTAGGATAGAGGCCTGCCATGGTGGTAACGAGTGACAGAGAATTAGGGTTCGATTCCGGAGAGGGAGCCTGAGAGATGGCKACCACATCCAAGGAAGGCAGCAGGCGTGTAAATTACCCAATCCTTACATAGGGAGATAGTGACAATAAATAACAATACTGGGCTCTTTCAAGTCCGGTAATTGGAATGAGAACAGTCGTAAACGCCTTGAACGAGGATCCATTGGAGGGCAAGTCTGGTGCCAGCAGCCGTGGTAATTCAGCTCCAATAGCGTATATTTAAGTTGTTGTAGTTAAAAGGTCGTAGTTGGATTTTGGGTGGGAGGGGTTGGTCCGCTCTTGCGGGCGTGTACCGGCCCTTTYGCCTTTCTTGCCGGGTATGCGTTCCTTGCCTTTATTGGCTGGGATCCAGAACCGACGTTGTTACTTTGAAAAAATTAGAGTGTTCAAAGCAAGCCTGATCTCTGAACATATTAGCATGGAATAACGCGATAGGACTCTGGTCCTATTTCGTTGGTCTTCGGGATTGGAGTAATGATTAATAGAGACGGTTGGGGGCATTCGTATTCCATTGTCAGAGGTGAAATTCTTGGATTTATGGATGACGAACTTCTACGAAAATATTTGCCAAGGACGTTCTCATTAATCAAGAACGAAAGTTGGGGGATCGAAGACGATCAGATACCGTCATAGTTTCAACCATAAACGATGCCGACTAGGGATTGGCGGATGTCTATTGGATGAYTCTGCCAGCACCTTGTGAGAAATCAAAGTTTACGGCCTCCAGGGGGAGTATGGTCGCAAGGCTGAAACTTAAAGGAATTGACGGAAGGGCACCACCAGGBGTGGAGCCTGCGGCTTAATTTGACTCAACACGGGGAAACTCACYAGGTCCAGACATAGCAAGGATTGACAAATTGAGAGCTCTTTCTTGATTCTATGGGTGGTGGTGCATGGCCGTTTTTAGTTGGTAAAGTGATTTGTCTGGTTAATTCCGTTAACGAACGAGACCTCAGCTCGCTAAATAGCTACATGGGAACCTTTCCTCGTGGACACCTTCTTACAGGGACTGTTGGACGACTATCCAACGGAAGTTTGAGGCAATAGCCGGTCTATGATGCCCTTAGATGTTCTGGGCCGCACACGCGCTACGCTGATGAATCCAACGAGTCGCATGCCTGGGTCGAAAGCCCCGGGTAACCTTCTTAAGGTTCATCGTGACGGGGATAGATTGTTGTAATTATCGCTCTTGAACGAGGAATGCCTAGTATGCGCGAGTCATCAGCTCGCGCTGATTACGTCCCTGCCCTTTGTACACACCGCCCGTCGCTCCTACCGATTGAATGGTCCGGTGAAGTATCTAGATTGCGGTGATCTCGGCAATTTGCCGCCAGGGGTGCTGTGAGAAGTTCATTGAACCTTATCATTTAGAGGAAGGAGAAGTCGTAACAAGGTTTCCGTAGGTGAACCTGCGTAAGGATCATTGACACGTGAACGACCGATCTTCGGGGTGTGGGACGCTGGCTTGCTCACCCTTCAGCCGCCCTTTGCCCCCATTCTCCCTACATCCACTTTTCTCTTCCGTTTCAGCACCATCTTGGGCTTAGTGCCCAGCTGGCGGCTGGCCTGACTTAGAGGGGGGCGTGGTGTAGGTCGAGGGTGGGGGGAGTGGGCAGGGTCCGAGGACTTGTGGCATTGCTCCCCCTTCATCCCGTCTCGCCTCCACAGGTTGTTACCTCGGCCCAACCGCACTTTCGACTTCTGGTCGGGATGGCGGTTGGTCCGGGCACGGACAACCCTGTGGGAGGGTCAGGGGCGGGATGTCGGGTGGTGGCGGCTGTCCTCGGCCTGCGTGCCCCCGCTCCTTCCCGTCTCAGCTTTGTCCAGACCTCCTTTCCATCGCGATCTCAACCTCAGCTTTATGCGGAGCTTGTGGCTTGTTTGGGGATCGAGGGTCGTGGTAGGGGCTCGGGGCGGAGTGTGTTGCGGGGTCCTCGGCCCCTCCCCGTTTCGTCCTGGCTTCCTTCCCAACGGGGTTCTCCTTTCCGGACAGATTGGCGACCTCGATACAGTCGAGGTGGTCTGAATCTCGGGGTGGAGGGCCGCTAGGGGAGGGTTTTGGTCGTGAACGGGGCGGTGTCGGGTGGGGGGGGAGGAGATAGAGTTTGCACCCTCGTTGCCCCGCTGCTCCGCGGTGCCCTACCTGGCCCCCCAAACGGGGGGTCGGACAGGCCCGTGGCAGCGGGCGGTGGGGACGACTTTGCAACTTCTTATTGATGTACCTGCTCTGATTTGTCGCTGTCCGGGTTGACGGCCCCCTTCGGTTCCGGTTGAGGGGTCGGTCCTGTCGGAACGRCACCATATTGTAGAACTCTCGGCAAATGAATATCTTGGCCCACGCAACGATGAAGAGCACAGCGAAATGCGATACTGAATGTGAATTGCAGAAATCCGTGAGCCATCAATACCTTGAGCGCACGTGGCGCCCAACGCTTCTGCCGAGGGCACGCCCGCCTGAGCATCATTGGAATCCTCAGGACCTCAACACCTTCCGTTTCGGAGAGTGGTGGGGTCCGTGGTCGTGGCTTCCCTCGCTTCCCACTTGGTGACTTGGAGAGCGTCGATAGCCTAAAGTGGAAGGGAATTGGAGAGCATTCTGAGCGGGCCTGTAGGCGCCGCAGCAGAGAGTGGTGCATTTCGCTCCGCCCTGTTGTTGCCCTCCAGCACCCGTTTGTGGGTGGTGGTCTTCGTTTTCCTGAAAACGACACGTAAGGTCATCGCTCCGATTTGTGTGGTCGCCGCCTTCCGTTCGCTCCCATCGGCTTGAGGTGGGCTTGCGGTTGGGGGTGTCGGCTTCGAGCTGTCGAGGTATGTAGGGCCTTGCCTTTTGATCTCAAGTCGGGCGGGAGCACCCGCCCAATTTAAGCATATAACTAAGCGGAGGAAGAGAAACCTACAAGGATTCTCTTGGTAGCGGCGAGCGAACCGGGAATAACCCAGACTGAAAATCTAGGGGTGTTGTTGCTCCCTGAATGGTAGTCTTGAGAGGCAACCTCTGCAGCGGGCCGTGTGCAGGTTCCCTGGAAGGGGACGCCGAAGAGGGTGACAGCCCCGTCGACCGCCGGACCCTGCTGCGCAACGAGGTGTTGTCCAAGGGTCGGGTTGCTTGAGAATGTAGCCCCAATCGGGTGGTAAGTCCCATCCAAGGCTAAATATGTGCGAGGGACCGATAGCGAAGAAGTACTGCGAGGGAAGGATATAAGAACTTTGAAAAGAGTGCTTGAAATTGCCGAACGAGAAGCGGATGGAGGGGAAGTCGTGCGCTCCCGTCTGGGCAGGGGTGGACGGCGACTGTGTTGTCGCCCCCCTTGTTGGACGTGGGGTGCCTGCCAGCATGGGCTGCTGTGACCGGCATTGCGGTGGGGAGCGATTGAAACCCCCCACTGGTGGCCATCACGAAAGTCGAGGACCTTGAGCACGCGCCTCTTTCGGCGGGCCCGTTCGGGTTCCTGTGTGGTCGGGATGCTGGCGAAATTGCTCTATCCTACCCGTCTTGAAACACGGACCGAGGAGTTCAACGTGCATGCRAGCCGGTGGGTGATTAGCCCATGAGGCGGAAGAAACTTGAGTGGCGGGAACCCTCCGTGGGTGCACCGTCCGCCAACCACGATCTGYTGTGAGAGGTTTGAGTGTGAGCATGCCCGTTGGGACCCTAAAGATGGTGAGTTTTGCCTGAGTAGGGCGAGGCCAGAGGAAACTCTGGTGGAGGCTCGCAGCGATACTGACGTGCAAATCGTTCGTCGGACTTGGGTATAGGGGCGAAAGACTAATCG